GTGTGTGTGTGTGTGAATGGGTGTGTGCGTGGTAGTGTGTGTGTGTGTGTGTGAATGGGTGTGTGCGTGGTAGTGTGTGTGTGTGTGTGTGTGTGTGAATGGGTGTGTGCGTGGTAGTGTGTGTGTGTGTGTGGTAGTGTGTTTGTCTATTTGTATGCCTGCAAGTATGGTGTGCATATGTCCAGTATATACGCACCAGATGTGTACAAAAACATTTCTTTACAACCGGCAAATCCAATTCTGGCACCAAATTCTGTCGCTAGCGGAGCTACCATGTTTCTGCGAGCCGTTCCATAAATATAATCCATTCAGGGGGCTTCAAGTCAATAAAAAATGAACCGATTAAGACGAGAAGCTCTCTGATAACTGAATGGCTGTGTGAATACAAGCAGCCTCTTGGCGGTCACCTAAGTATCTCGACCTCCTTTTCAGGAAAGCCAGACGGCGAGGAGGCAACATGTCATCGATCACATTCTGTTGCATAATACCTCAGGCAGGTATCGATGGAGTGGAAAGCTTAACAGAGAGGCAATTAGTGATAGTAGGTGGTAAGCAACTTAGCTTATAATTCAGTGTTGATGAATGCGATGCGATCATTGACGGGGAGGGAATATAGTGGGGACCATTTGGCGGATTCTAATGAATTGCGTGTAATATACAGAGTATTGGCGCGTGCGCGAAATTGCAGAAATGATGAAAAGGGATATCGAGAAAAGAGAACAAAATTGACGTAATGACAAATAAGGCATTGTTGTTTTCTAATAGCATTTATGTTGATACAAATGATAATAATTGTAATAATAATAATGAAATATTGATGAAAACATGATAACATTAATATCAAGGATAACAGTAATAGGTATGATAATAAAAATGGTTATGATAATAATGATAATGATAGCAACGAAAATGATAAATGATTATATAACAAATGGTTGCAGCAATAACAATGATGATGATGATAATTAGCATGAAGATGATTATAATAATGATAAGAAAAGTGATGAAAATAACTAAAATTATAAAAACAGCAATAGCAGTAATGGTAATAATAACGATATAAATTACAGAATTGACAATTACAATAATGATCTTAAAACTGCCATTGCTGCTGATGATGATATTGATGAAAATAACTAATATAATAACAACAATAACAATAACAACAGCAGCAAAACAACAACATCAATAATAATAATGATAATGATAAGGGTAATAATAATGATAATAATGATGATAATGATAATATATTTGACTAAGCAAAATTATTAATAATGATAATAATAATAATAATAATAATAATAATAATAATAATAATAATAATAATAATAATAATAATAATAATAATAATAATAATAATAATAATAATAATGATAATAATAATAACAACAACAACAATAATAAAAAAAAACATTAGAACAACAACAGCAACAACTTCAATAACGATAACAATATCAATAATAATAATGATAATAATAACAACAAAGTTAATTATACTAACAATAATAATAATATTGTAACTAGAGAAAATTCCGGGAAATAGGGATAGTGAGAGAAAGTCAAAATGCTTCTCTGTTACACAAATAAAAAATAATAATAAAAAAATAAAATCTACCAGAAACGGACTTAGATCTTTTAATTCACTGTATGTGGATCCTGGTCAAAGTGTAGGAAGTCTTTGTATCTAGGGCAGCTGACGTATGATATCTGTAATAATACAATCAGATAACTGTAATAGTTAATTTGGCATGTTGAAAATACCAGATGAATCTTATAATTCAATCTTAAAATCATTCAGGGTATACAGTCACTCTCCAACTTTAATTCCTTGGTCCATGGACCATGGGTATCTCGCCTATAAATTTTCTTACAATTTGCCGTTAACCAAGTAACCACGGGTCCATCAATAAATAGCGGCAAAATTAAAACATTGCCTGCTGGACAGAGCAAATTATTATAACATGAATAATAATTCATATTCAAAGATGATGACATTTGAATTCACACTTATACACACATACACAGATATACACATATGTGTGTGTGTGGTCAACTCTAGAAACTAGGGCAGCACAAATACTAACCCGGGTCATCCTTCCCTTCCTCTCCTGAGCACACAAAAGCGCCAGTTTTTACTCGCGTCCGCCGCCCCCGAGCGCAAAGGGTGTCTTAACATGGCGTGTCCTCCGGCCTCTCCCATCCGTCTCCGACTGGCGTTCGTGGCCGCGCCATCGATTCAGCGTGACGGATTTCTCTCCTTTTGCCAGCGTCTCCTTGACTTCTCTTAGACTCTATACTTCAGGGATTTTTCGTGTGCTGAGTGGAGAACGAAGAAAAGGAAGTCGTCGTGTAAAAGCTTGACGTTTCGTGTTTTGAGTGGGGATTTAAAAAAAAAAAATG